TGTTGCTAAGCACATAACTCAACAACGCCTAGATAAATTTGGCCAATTCTTTTCTAAAATATTCGTCAAAGTCTAAAGATGGTTTTTACGGCAAGAAAATTTCAAATAATTGTCGGGAAAACCCTAAAGACAGCCCTCTTCAATAGGAAAAAGTTGGCACTGAGATTCAATCATAGTTATAGTTAAATAGTTGAATCCAAGATGGCGCGCTGAAGTGCATTATTGGCAATTCTTTATATAATTAATTTCTTTAAAATAAAATTGCGAATCTTGTTTATCGAATTGACCCATTCTATGTCTAGAACAAGAGAATAAAAAACGAATTACATTTTTATTAAACACTACCGGGACGAAGTCGCGGGCAAAAGCTAGTTTTATATCAAATAAAGAATCTTTTTGACAGATTCGGTTCATAAAAAGTTCAAATTATTAGAAAGTAATGGTCTAATCCATCATATTAGAACTATTTTTCATAATCATTGATAAGGAATTTGGCCTCGCGAAATTATATACCAGAACATCAAGAAAAATTAAAACAGAAAAAGTATTAGTTTTTATGATTAAAATGTTTGAGAAAATAATTAATTTAAGATGACATTTATGGATGAGCAGTAAAAGTTGTCAGTGCAATTAATAAATAAAATGTCATACAAAACTATTAAAACGATTCAGTTTCTGATTATTTTTTATGTTATAAAATAAACCTGGCTGATAAAGTATTCCTTAAACGACATTTCATCAAAACAATTCATTCTACTAGCATGCGAACCTGTTCCTCTAACTAATTCGTGTTGGAATTAGCATTTATTCAGTGTAGCGTGCCTCGACATAATAAATGAAGATTGAAAATATCGCTGTGTTGAATAATCGCTGGATGAAAAATCGAACGCGATTTATCACTCGACTATGCGAGCAAATGTGAAACCATATTAACATGATGAATGTTGTCGTGGCGTTTTCAGTGCCTTTTGCTTCGTTCACGTATTCATAGTGCGCTGATGAACAATATCGAACTGTGTCTATAGACACGCCGAGTTTCATTCTCTCTTTGCTCAACTCTTCGTCGGCGGCCGATTGCGGAATTATGTAAATTAATTGACGCCGCATGATGTCCATTACGTTTTCGCGCCTTTAATAAACCGGGCATTAATATGGCATTATTAAGTTATTTATAGTTATTTTAATGAATGAATATTTTACTGTGTAAAATCCAACAAAAAAATCACAACGGATATTTGTTAACGTGTTAGCCTGGTGGCCTAAATTCAGCATTCCAATAACCTATTATCTCCTTTCATCTGCAATTTCCTTTTCAGCGATGCGCAGCGTGCAAAAGTGCGAATGCATTCGTTCCAATTTTCTATCGTCATGGCCTGTCATGGCCGCCATTCAACCGTTTTGCGCCCCACGCACACAGAGAACACATTTAACATTTCATTTCGTATCCGTTTTCGTATTTTACGCTGTAACATTAGGCATTGTTGAGTTTTAACATGGTTAAACGTGCTTAAACGTGCTTTCATTCCTCATATATGATACTATTCCTTGTCGTGTGACTCGTGTGACGTTACTTTGTATTACTTTGTATTGCGTTGCCTAACGATCGTTACGCATTCACGTCGGTCGTTTCTTACGTTTTACGTTTTAGATGCGGGGACTTTTCATCTGCGACAGACAAACAAATACATAGATAAAAGCACACAATACTGTACACGCTTGTCGGCCATGTCATCGGGTTGAAAGGGGTCGGCCATTTTGTAAACATATTAAAATACAAACAACCATAGACATACAATAAAATATTAGAATAGAATTTGTGTAATATTCTTAAATTAAAGCTTAAATCTAGGCAACACACCATAGTTCTTAATTCTTTCATGTAATACTGGTTGTCTATTTGAATATTTTGATTAAAGCAAAATAAAAAAGTCGTTTTGCCACGAAATAAATCTCGAAGTAGCAATAAAACGTGTGCTACCAGGATTAAAGTGCAATGTTATAAATCTAGTTTAGTTTACGATTGTAATCGCCAGTTCTTTTAATTCTATCACTATTTACGAACACTATTACATCCATTTAAGTAGCAATTAATTTTAAATCAACCAATTCTTTTTTTCCACCCAGTATTAGGTTTGTTAGATAAACTTTTACGAGGTTTTCAGCAAATTTTTAATCGCTGATTTCTTAATCTCGTAGCATTTCGCAATTCTGCATCTGCAGAGGCATTAAAGCTGCAAATGGAAAAAGTTTATTACTTTATTACGATTTCGTGGTGAAGATAAAAAAATAATTAAGTCCTTACACCAACTCACAAGTTTAATCTCAAGTTTTTAATCAACAAATCTTACTACGTGACAAACTGTCAAAATAACCATGACAGGTGTAGTTCTATACTAAAAAAAAACTATTTTTGTGTAAAATATAATTTATGTTAAGCATTAAAGTCAACCTATTTTAGAGGTAACAAAAGATTAGACGGTTTCAAACATCTTTAGTAGTTTTAATTGAAGTGTCACTATGTCAAGATGGCCGCTGAGCAGGTAGGCGACTCACCCGTCGTGCACTGCAAGCTCCTATTCAATACAAACCCTTGGAATATTTGAATAAATTAACAATAGAAACTAAAACATGTTTTATGTGACATTTTCCACCTAATAACATTTTATACATATTTATAACCATGTTTTAACATAAAATAAGGTTAAGTTAAATAGTACACATGTAGATGGCGCTAGTATTACCAATATCAAAATACTTTTAATGTTTATAAGTGTTTCGAGTATTTACAGAGTTGAGTTAGAACGCAATTCGTTTGCGAGTGATTTACGAGTCGTTTGCGCATGAGTTCACGCGATGGCAATCAAATTTTTCTTCGAGTTGTGAGTTTCGTATTATGTCAGTTCATATTTTCACCATAGGTGTGCACGAATGGATTTTCCTACGTCTGTTTGTTTTGCGATGTTTGTAGTTTTGTTATGTTGTTGCGCTGCTGTTATTACGTCCTCACACGTACAGACGTCTATGCACTTTGCACATAAATGCAACGGGCGTAAAACGCGTCGGAGCGCACAATAAGACTTATTGGAATTAAAATTGGATCGTGCCGAGGGGTCGTTACCGTTACCGAAACACACAATCGTACTCGCTACTATTTTTGTCTGTTTACGAATGCAATTCACTCAATTTCATTCGATTCACTCGCAATTCGTAATAATGGCTTCAGGCCAATATCGACGAGTATGTAGTTACTTAGTGTGTTTTGCATTTTAGGCTAAATCACCTCGTAATTCGTTGTTTCGGCCCTTGAACAACATGTTTCGACTTGATTAATAAACGTTTTATATTCACAAATCTTATTCGTAGCTTTGTAACAAAATTATCTGTATCGGGCGCATTTTACGAGTGAAAATATCGATATTACTATAGTGTATATTCACTTTATATCGCAATAACGTTTATTCTTTATCGTATTTGTTCGCAACGCAAGTTCGAGTTTATTTTAACGTTCGACGATTCGCAGACGAGCAAAATAATCACATAAAACCAGCTTACGCAAGACTATAACCTCAAAAATGCTTAAAAACCTCTTAAAACTTGGATGTGTTTACAACTTTCAGCATTCAGTACGTAACCTCATTTTAAAATTACATTGTGTGATTTTGATACCCATTTACGCTGCTAGACGGCGCTGGTAGTGCAAAAGAATCATTTAATAGTAAACTGGTGCACATTTTCATTGAATTTTATTACGCTGCGCATACGAATATGATTATTACCTATAGTTTTGTGTAGTCTGTAATGAATAAACAATGTAATATCCTTGGGGCGCATCAATTATATCACTGCCCCGGCATGTCCGCCATTGCACAACCATTAATATTGCAGCGATGTTATTGCTATTATATCGAATGTATCAAAATAATTACACAATGCGTGCGCGGTTTTCAATTCAATAGAATGCAACGTGAATAGAGCGCTGTACAAACGAGTAAACAAGTGACGCTCGCAGAACAAAAGGAACGCAAAATGTGACCAAACAAATTAAAGCATGTTTTTGAAGTTCGAGGAGTGCATTATGGCAATCACAGTATTGTTAAGAGGTCTGAAAATGACACAGGTGGATATAAATTCATATTAATGTTAAATAATTTACAATGGTAGATATGTGCATTTTCAATTAATCCATCGGTAATTGCAATATCGTGTTAATTAATATTCAATCCAATTCAATGAAAACTGGTGCATTATTAAGCATACAGATGGCTTTCATAGGTTATGATACACATAACCTAAAATTAAATGTTTGCATTGCTACGCAAGCATCCGTAAAAAGTTTACATTCGCGCTCACACTCTTTGTGTGAAGCTGCATTATAAATTTTCAACCCCTCAATAGTGTCATTGTATCATTGTACGAAAATAATGCAAACGAACCCCACGGCGTGGCTGCCTTCAGCAAACATTGATATTGCAATTTAACCAGCGACCAGCAGTGTGTCAACCACTATGGGGTGTACCGCAAGAAATAGTTTTCGGCACATCCGGAACGCAGAGCTTAATAAAAGACCATCCACCCCATGGAGTCGTGCGCGTATTTAGAGTGTGCCTACTGGTGCCTCTGAAAATTATACGCGTGTTGTTGGGTGGCCATTTTTGGGGTGAATGCAGCTGTTCAGTTCTAGGTAGGTACACGCACTAAATACCAAAGTGTTTTTGATGCGATGCACACGTCGATAAACATATCATATCGTTAGAAACGTTTTGAAGCGTTTCTGGGATGTACCAAGAGATTAAACCGTAGGATGCCACACGTGACACAATGAATTTTTGTATATTTTGTGTCTTATTTTTATTTTGAGGGTGGTAAGTCAATCGCAACCCATATGCAACTGATACGCATCATAGAACATAACCTAAATTACGGTTAAATAATAGTAAATCAAAAATTACACAAAATTACCCTTATTTTGGGGTTTAATGTTAAGTTATATATGTGGGTGGTTGAAATTTATACAAAAACTACCCTAAAACGGTAAAAAAACGTTGAAAAATTAAATTTACATAATTTATCAATTTATATTTTTAAGCAGATTATGCCATACCACCCAAAACCAGGTGTGCATCCCTTAAATTATCATTTAAAGTATTTAATTCTTCACAAAGTCAAAATTTCGTCAGAGTGAAAAGATTATAAAGATGTTTACAACGTTACCAGTTTGCCACTCGTTTATTCTTCTCCTTCAGTAGACATTCAGAAGTAATTCGTTGAATGCTGTTATATGTTTGATGCTAGATGGTGGATGGTTTTATTGCGCTCGTCCGCCGCGCCGTTAGTGAAGATATAAATATCAAGTTTTTTCATTTCCATCTGCACCCGTTCCCGGAAGGCTATAAAATAGACAAGCAAAAAAACTTAGTTGAATTAAGAGGCACGGTATGCATAAATACACGACATGGTAAAAAAATAAAAACGAAAACAGGAAAAACATAAACGTAAAGCATTGAAATAAAACATGAAGTTAACGTTTAACGTTTATAACCGGTAGGGGTATAAATTTAACTTAGTTTTAAATTATTTAATGCCCGAATTTATCGTGAGCGTTTATTTAGGTTAATATTGTTAGTTTCTACTTAGAAAAACACATAAATCATATTATTTTTTTTTCGCTTTTTATATTTTATATTTACCCCTTTATTTTTTGATATTTTCTAAATGTCAATTTTATTTTTATTTGTTGTGTCGTCGACAAAATGTGACAAAATGAAGCATTACTTTCGCACTGCGCGCGTCCAAACAAAAGTCGTAAAACTTGAAGGGGTCGTAAATTCGTAAATTCGTGAATTCAATAAAAAGCCACATTAAAAATAATTCAATTTTCTAGCGTCCTGCGACACAACGGTTTTATTGCGCTTTATTTCGGCTTAAAAAGGTGTTTATTTAGACTTTAGAGATTGCACCCTTCGCAAATTTAAAAGGGTGCCTGAAATATTAAATATTAAAACGGTTTCTTTCATAGCTACAGCATTCAATTCACATTTGGTTAGAAATATATTAAATACGAATAAAATATACTCCGCCATTTTGGGCACGCGCATGCGTTGTGTGCGTTGTATAATTTTTTCCTGTATTTTATTGACCTGTGGGCAGTTGGGCAGTGAGTTGATATGCTCGGAGTCCATTCATCATCGCGGATTATTCATTATAATCTGTTTGAATCGCCGTGGATAGCATTGTGGCACTGGCAATATGCATAAATATTTTCAAGGATTAAGGACGCATTATTGTCACAGCAGTCCGACACTCCAACGCTTCTTAGTGGTCGTACTTTGTGCGATTATGATGCTTCGCTTCACATTACACATCTCGTTTGCTTCTCAAGTCTTTCTTCTTGATTTTATATATTTTCTGGTTGTTGTTGAGTGTATCAAGCTGTATCTGCATGTATCGTTCGATCTTATCTCGAAATGATTCAACTTAAAAACTCATAAATTTTAGGTTATATACAGGGTGGAGCAGAATATAAAATAAAGAATATACTTTTTTAACTTTGAATTGTGGTCCAATGAATAATAACGGTCTAAAATTCGGACGGCAAAAAGTTTTTTACTCATAACCCACGTAATTTCATTGCTAGAATATTTTTTTTGTAGTAAAAAATGTTTTATTAAATTCTACACATAAATTCCTAAATTCAACGTTTGTATAGAAAATTAATTAAAATTAAAATGAATAGATCAATGCAAGTGGTTTTAATTAATTTTTACAAATATAAATTTAAACTGTTCGTAATTAGTTCTTTGACTGAATTTTTTTTAAATTTTTTGTAAAACGAAATGTAAAATTTTATACTCAAATCATTAAGCTAATCATTTTCTTATAATATTTAATAGTTTTTGATTTATTGTACATTAAGTGTATAAAAACACATTATTGAAATTTTTAGACCGCTATCCTTAACATATTGCAAAACCGCAAATAAAATGTTAAATTTTTCTGTAATACTTTGTATATACTATACTATTATTTATTTACATTTACGATTTCAATCCTATAAAATATGCCCACTTACATGGATTTTATTCATCATATTTTATTACACTACGAAATTTCGTGATGGATTAGGCAAATTCTTAATCGCATTGTTATGATAAACCATAAATAAAAATAAATCGATAAAATAAAATTCATAAAAATTTACTTAATACGTTTCTTTTTCGAAACTAAAGCCCCCTCTAAAATGAATACGCTTAAAGATAAAAAAAATTCGTGCCTGAAAGCTCTCAAAACGTTTGAAAACTTTTTATCGGATTCAATTCGCGCGTGAAACGCTTAAATTCATAAAACTTGTCACGGTCACCAGACTGTTAAAGTAAATTAGAAATGTTTGTCGCCATTCTCATCCCTGCGCCGAAAGCTTTTATTCACTTTCTTTATTTCCATCATCGCTTCATTCTCTGCATTCTTTTAAATTTTAATGCTTTTATTCAGATTTTTATTATCGCCGTCAACCTACTTAGATTTTTTTTCCTTTTAATGTACCTGATAAAATTTAATATTTAAAACACATTAGGTTTGAAGTATGAAGAAGAGTTGCGGTTGGAAGTAAGTTGAAAGTGGAAACTGAACGTTATTGACGTTTTACTTAATTTTTTTATTATTATTTTAATGTTCTTTACAAGTAATGTTTTCTTTTTGTTGTTTCCATTCCTTCATCGAAGCTTAATCCTGTCGTAAGTAGCGTTCCAGATTATTCACTAACGAACAACGACATTTTTAATGCTTTCAATGCGTTCGGGAAACTTTTTTAATGCGTTTCTTTACCCTCGACGAAGATTACATATTTTTCTTTCTGAACCACCAGCAAAAAACGAAATAATCTGGCATAAAGCATAAGAATAATGAATAAAAAAATAAAAATACTCACAGATAAGACTTTTATACTTCACTTATTGTTAGCAATGCGAATAAGCAGACAAAAATGTTTTTGACAGTTCCAATTATTTTATTTTTGTACATGTTTTATTGCGTATGCATACTACTTCCAATATATAGGAAAAATATTTATTAAATTTCTAAACATGCACACTAAAGATTATAACTGTTTCCCACCCTCGAAGCAGCAGTTTATGTTGCTCCATTCTGTTTAGTGCGGATGCGTTGTGCATTCGTTTGTTCTGTTTTGTTTTGCGGACGCTTTACGTTAAAATAATTATTTTCCTGCAACGTTGCACAGGTAGCGAGTGCGCAGACTATCAGAAACACCTGAGACGCGCCCCATCCGGCTAACGCTAGCTGGCATCTGTACATTTCCACCCTTTCGGGATGTGGCGGAACACAACCTTCGAAGGTTTTACGTGGAAAAGTTACAAGTTGCTAGACTACGACCACTGCGACTACGTGTACGAGTATCGTTTGTGTCACGAGCGTACGAAAGCAAACGAGGGTGTGGGGTGAGTTTTGCTGCATCTCGAAAACTGAAAATGTCGTTCATGTTGGTTGCAACTGCACCGTAAGTTTGCCTAACGGTAATGTAATGTTGCAAAGTATAAAATAAATGCGTTACATTCATAAAACTAAGAAAAATAACTTATAAATTATTTTAAGCTCCGCCTACAATACAACTACGCATGCGTATATTATCCTAATGCAACATAACCTATTTTTTGATTGTTTTATTGTTTTTTTCCGATTCAAATGTGAAAACATCTTAAATCTAAGCAAAATCAACAATAGAAAATAAAAACGTCACGTCTTGGCGTGTCTGAGCGAGTAAGGGGTGTCTCTGCTTGAGAAGTTGTCTAACCACAAACAATCCTGACACGTTGACTTGTGGTGACGTCTTGAATTACTACCACTCGCGATCGCGGTCGTATCGATTTCTAGTTTTCTTCCTGCTTTCGGTTCGATTCGGTTCCGGTGGTCTTTTGCGCCCCCGCGCGATAAATTGAATGCGGACCGCCAGTTTTTCACTGTCTAAGCGTATTAGTCCCTCGAGCGCGATCAAAAACCTTCGCGACCGCCGCTGCTAGTGCATTTTCGAATCAAGTTTCTTCTCCTCTTCTATAATATAGTATATGAAGGGTAGGGGGATGACTAGCAGAGAAAGTGTATTAAACCACACGCTTCAAAAAAACTGTGTCGTAAAATATACAGATTATCAAAGTTTTCATAGGTGGAAGGATTTATTGATTAAGTTTTCAAAAACTAAATTTTATAAAGAATTTCTTTAGTTTATTAGAATACGTTCTAATTTTGAATATAGTGAAAAGTTGAAGAAACCGTGCATTCCTGAATTATTAAATAAAGTCGCGAATTTTGCGACGTTGCAAGAAAATTTAATTAAAACTCAGCGACATAGCTCATCGTCTTCGAAGCATACTGCACCTACGCGTCTTTTAGATAAATAAACAACGAACATTCTTGTTCAAATTAATTGAATATTCTCTCATATCAACTATCGTCTTACTAGTGAACTTTAAACTTAAGTACTTACACTTTGAATAAATATTTTGAATTTCGCCATTTTGCTTTGCAATTAATTTTTTTACAGTTAAAAACTTGCGTTTTAGCATCAATTTAGTTTTTGAATTAAATTATTCTGAATTTTTACCTCTTGCTATAAATGCATCTCCTGAATCCGACAGAAAATGTAGGTAATGTAGGTAATATTAGAAGCCGAATGTACTTACGAGCATTTCGCATCCGAGTTATTTATATTTCAGCTACCCGGGCGTCGCCCGACTACATTATTGCATTTTGCGTCGAGGGTTTCCACGTAAAAATTTAATCTCTTGCCGTAAAATGGGGTTAAGTTAATATGGTGTATACTCGGTTGCCTACATTACACAAATAAAACTTGAAAAAATTGTTTGCGTTGAAAATGAAAGATAACTCGATGAAAACTCTTGAAAGGCGTGTAAACAAGACAAAAGTACGTGTACACGAGTTGAATGTAAACAAAACACGATCGACGAATGAGTTGTCGTCGTGCGCGCGACGTGTGTGCACATCGAGGAGACATTCGAAAGTTTTTCCGGCGAATTTCCACTCGCGTTTTGGGATGCATTCCACGGTACTTCGCGAAACGTGTAAATATTTACCAGTATGCTCAAAGCGTTTCCTCTTTCAACCCTTATTGCATTCATTTTCGGGCTTTGATGCTCGAAAATTTCCTTATTTGTCATTATTATTCTCTCATTTAATGCGTTTCAAACTTGGATAGACAGATAAATATTTAAAAAGTTTTGTGATAGATTTTTGTGTGTATTTGGTTGCATATATTTTAAGCTATCGTGCACACTATAAATACACTTAATATTAATTTACTAGAAATTGAGGTATGTAATTTTGCTCGCGCGTTTTCATTGAGGAATTTCAGCGGTAGCGA